TATTTTATTAACCCTTTCAGATCTAATTTAGTGTATTTAGTGGATTTAGTAATTTCTTTTTAATTCAGTTAAAGAACATTTTAATGAGTAATTTACAGTAAAAAATTAATTTTTTTCAAAATTTGGACTGTTTTTCCAACATGTAGGGCAGAGTGGAGCTATTTGAGCATAGGGGCAAGATGAACAAATGTAAATATCTAAATAACCAAAACATATATAGATATGTCTATGCTTGCATAATGTAGCACAAAGACAGAGATTACAGTGCCTTAATACAATAATCTGTCAACAGCCAAATACGTACGCTTTTTCGTTTTCGTATATCAAAAGTAAAATTAATAGATGAGTATTCTTTTTGGTTTACATGGTAATTAAAGCGATTAATAACAATCAAATGTGTTTTTTGGATATAAGTTATCGTATTTTTTAACTTTAATGTTCAAGTTGCTATTTTATTTACAGTTTTTCAGTTATAAAAAATATTTCAATCAACACCGATATGGGGCTTGTTGGACTAATAAATGTGGCTGTGTCCCACAACTAACCTTATAAACTCAGCTGCTTAAATGAAATCTGTCTTTATCAATGTTTTTTATTCTATGTTAACAATTAAACATATATTTTACGTTTAATTATTGGGTGCACAAATAAGTTTTAAAGCGTTTTTTTGTGTAACGTATAATTTAAACTTAGAATTCAAATATTTTCGCGCTCTTTTGATATGTAGTGATGCTTAATGTGTACTATTAAAAAACACAATTGACTTCACAAAATTGGAAACTTAACCTCAAAATTAAATGGTTTTAAAATGACGAGCGACAAGCAATTTATTCGACACTGCATTCGATACGAATTTCATCAAGGAAAAAGCGCTGCTAAAGCATGTGAATCAATTTGTTCTGTTCTTGGAGTCAATGTTGTACCCAAAAGTACGTGTGAGTTTTGGTTTAGGCGATTTAAAGAGGATGATTTTGATGTTAGCGATAGAAAACGTAGTGGTGCTCCTCGGAAGTTTACAGACAATGAATTGCAAACATTACTCGATCAAAACTCATGTCAAACACAAAACGAACTTGCACAGCAACTTGGAGTAACTCAACAAGATATTTCAATTCGTTTACGGCAGATGGGAAAGATTCTGAAGGAAGGAAAATGGGTGCCACATGCATTAAGTTTGCATTTGCTTCATGACAACGCCAGGCCTCATGTTGGCAAACCTGTAAAAGAAACGTTGCTAGCTCTTGGTTGGGAAGTTTTGCCGCACCCGGCGTATAGCCCAGACATAGCCCCTTCTGATTATCATTTATTCCGGTTAATGCAAAACGCTTTGTCCAGTGTACACTTTCGAGCATTTGAAGAATTGCGAACATGGGTGGATAATTTTATCGCATCGAAAGACGAAACCTTCTTTTCTTCTGAAATTCGCAAGCTGCTCGAAAGATGGCTAAAGATCATAGATAATGATAGAGATTATTTTGATAATTGAGTGTGTTTTCGTTTCTAAATAAATAAATATTAAATTTCATTAAAAACGCTTTAAAACTTATTTGTACACCCAATATTATTATAAAGAATAAGGATTTTAGTTTTTCTAATTTTGTTAATTAAAGCGAAGCTCGAACTCCGACAAAGTCACTAGATGTTGTTTTTAGCGCATCGACATGTTTTTATATAGGGTAAAAGATCATATTACTGACGTTATATACATTACTGTCAATCAAAATTAAAATTTTGAGGTGGAAAAAATATCTATGTTATTACTCTTACTACTATTATTACTAAAAAATGTATTTTACGAAAAACGTAGTTCCCGAATTAATTTTATGTTCCATTTATTAATATGAATTATATTATTTTAATATACATATTTTAATATATATACATATGTATATTATTTCAATAAAAATTTAAAAATATTTCAAAAGTTAAAATTATTTAATTACTTATCGTCTAAAACACAAAGAGACTAAGTTTACAGGTACAATAATTTAATATAAAAAACAGTAATGCATTCATCTGGTTGCTAGTATTACGAACAACGAAATTTTAAGGTTGCCAATATTACGTGCAACTTAGTTTGGTCTTTATTTTATTAAATAAAAAAAACAGTTAATTTTATTTAAACTCTTTTATTTTATTTGTAAAGTTTATAATTGAAATAATTAAAAAAAAATATTTTTAATACTTAAATTATGATTAATTGTATAAATATACTAAATCAAATATGACTAAACGCTTAATATGCCAGTAATATTGGTCTTTTACTCTACTATCACACCAATATCTCACACAACCTATGATACATTCAGTCGCACATTCATGTAAATTTTTGTATAACAAATTCGTCGCGATAAAGCGTCTAAGTCTAATTCTAAGAACTCGATGTTATTTGTTCGTACAAACTATGTGTTTGTGGATCACTATTTCATAAGTACAGATTGCAAAACTTTCGTATCAAGCAAATGTTATCACGACTTAACAGCTTGAGACGCCATGTTACACTAGAAATGGTAAAAAATATATCAATTTCGAAATTTTTGGTCATTCTCGGCATAAATTCCAACTCACAAACACGTATTGATGCGTATACTTTAATCCTGGAAAAGGATTTTCGCGAATCTGTGAAAGAGGAAAAAAGTATTTGTTATACAAAAATTATATGATTTAATCGATAATACAGGCGGCTTTAGGATCCCCTTAAAAGGAAAGAGAATATTACAAATTATTATATTTAAGATGAAAATAATAAAAATTTGATTAATATACACGTAATCCTTTCATGTTTTTAATAATATATAACCTCATTAAACAATTATCTTCATGGTTTAACTTATCCCTCGAGGCTGCTCAACATGTCCTATAGATAGGGTATATTGGTCCACTTTGCATCCTTGTAATTAACGTAATTTTTTTCTTATTTGTGAAATATATTAAGGATTTATAGCCAGATGAACATGCACCGTTTTAAAGCATTTACCATTAGTCTATCATAATTGTGTGAAGATTTATAATAATTTAAAGAAAAGATGTCACAACTAGCCCCGCTTTACCCTACATTAAATTATCTAGTCTCAAATGATGTTGATAAAATGAAATAATTTCAACGGATAAAATGTCCTCAAATTTGATGTACACTGATGCAATGTTCACAAATCTGAAGGGGTATGTCCAATTAATAATAAACTCTTAATAAACAAATAGCGTCAATGATTTTCAAAATTAAACTGACTTCCAAATATTCATTTATCACAAAGATTATAGCGTCTCTGCAATAAAGAAAAATGTGAACGATAAACTGCATCAACACTTTATAACAATTAAATTAGGGGAGGGGACGCAATCGCTGCTGTAGGTCGGAAGTAAAGACTTACGGTATCGTTGCGCGTAATAGTGTTGCGCTTAGATAATTAAAAATCATCTAGATATAGATAAGATAAATCACACAAAAATATATCTTAGATAAGATAAAGATGATTAATTTTACATTAATCTAGATAAAAGATGAAATTAAAAAATTTTTATCAAGATAATTTTGTTTTTAACTAACTATTAGACAGTAAAACGATTTATGCACAATTTCTGCACCTCTAGATAATTTTATCCAAGAGATATCTCCCAGAATACAATGGAGATATCTCCTGAATAAAGTTATCCTCAACTTATCTGGAAGTGAAGAAATTGGGCATTAGGACATTTTTTACACACAAAAAATGTATTTATATTTTCATTAATGTTTATTTTTTTCGAATAAAAGTTTTTTGAACATTTCGTCTAACAAACGGTTTCTACGTGGAATTAATATTTGTTGTCCACAAATAAAAAGGCGCTCCACTGGCGCTGATAATGGCAATGACGTGTCATATTTAAAAAAAATTTGTTTGACACACATGTGGATACAAATTAAGAATATCTAATTCCTTAGGTTTATCTTCTAAATATAAAAGTACTTTAATGTCGCTTTGAATTATGACTGATGTCATACTAATTCCAGTTTTATCTATATCATAAACAAATTCTCATTATTACTAGAGATTATATAAAAATTTTTTTATAATACTCTTTTACAATCTTAGTTAATTTGAAAAAGATTTTATCTAAGATAAGATAAAGATAATCTATATTCTTAGAATCTAGATAAAGATAAGATAAAATCATTTCTTCATCTATATAATTATCTAGATAATTTTATCTAAATAACGGAAAACACTGACGGTATCCATCCTCGGGAATTTTATCGCAACATGCAATATTTTAAATTAAAACATCGGTCATTAATTTTCCTCGTGAAGCCATCCGTTACTTTGTCATGTCAACATAAATATCGACCTATTCACCCAACACGGACCTCGTGAGCGGAGACTATAATAGACTGCCTGATCAAGACGTCCCGACCTCTAGGATATCAGCAAGATTTAACGGGGTGATCGGAA